ATATTTTAGAAATGATTTTGGAATGCAAAATCCTTCTTTTTTTGTTTTAAATATTTGAAATTTGATAAATGACTTCTACGATTGATTTTACATATTGATTTTGACATTTGTGAATCTTAATTTTGCTTTTTTTTGCTTAATTTTCTCCCTGTGTATCCTTCCTTTATCGCAAAAAGGAAAGAGAAATTTGCTGTTACTTTTTCCCTTTCCACTTTCTTGTTTCTTTTCATCCTTCTCCTTTCGTTTCCTTTTTCCACTCTATTTCAGAATTTAAAATAATATTGTAAAATGTTCTCTAGCTTAAAATAATAAGAACGAAGCATTACAATACAAAAACTAGATTCAATCATACTTTTTCATATAAAATAAATTTGATTATGTTTATAAATGCTTGAAGCACTTGCGTTCTCCCCCATGCATTTTTTTGTACAGTTTGTCATTCTATCGAGCATGACACGCCATTACATCGCAGCGAGGGTAACTTTTGTTTACACAGTAAAGTGCTGCTAATTTTTCTCTAAACTGTTATTTTAAGGGACGTTTGTTTTTTCATCTTTCCATTCCGATGAATATCCATTTCGTTACGACAACAATTTTTATTCATCATTTGACGAGGCGATATTTTCCGAAAATAAAATTTAAAACTTCATTAAAATGGAAATTAATTCTTAATTCGTATCATTCACTCATTCGATTTAATTTTATTATTAATCTTTAGAATATAAAATGCAAAATGAAATTAAATATTTGAAACTTTTATGATATAATATAAATTATTATAATCATCAAAAAGATTAATATAATTTTAATTACTTTTAAAATATATTATATAGAGTGAAGAGCATAACTGAATCAATAACGATGGAAAATTGTTGTTATAACTTGGTAATAGAGAAATTACAAAACAATCCATTTTAGAATATAAGATCTCTACTTTGAAAATTCTGAGTTTGTTTTTTCTAAATAAGTTTTTAGATAATTTCAAAAGGAATAAGTAGAAAATTACTTTTCTTTCGAAAATTTTACAAACAAATGGTTTAATGGAAAATTTTTTTCAAGATTAGACCTACCATGATCTTGAAGATTGAAATATCCTCTTATATCAATATTTTTCAAACAGACAAAAAGTTATAGACTATTCACGAGAAAATGGTACATTTCTCAAAAAAAAAGGAAGATTCGTTCGTCAAGAAGTTGTAGTTCCTGCTCATTGAGAAAAATCATAGTAATTAGATACTAGGATCAAGAGAGAACAAGAGAAAAGCAAAGTTCAAGAAACGTTGCGGGGTAGAAAAGTATAATAACCATACCGTTGATCATTTCCACGAATTCTCTCCATTAATTCGCAAAAGCATTGAGGCGTCCTCGGCAATTTTAATAACTCATGGTCATCGCATAACGCCGCCAGTTTCCTCGTCAGCCATAAAACACTTTACAACTTTACCAATAAAAAAGTTTCAACAATTCAACCCCCGTCCAAGGGGATCAATATCGGCGAGCTTGCGATTGGATCGTACCGCACCAATCGAGGCTGTTCGCCGCAACAAGGGTTGAATTCTGCGGATTCTGCGCCACTAGATAGCCGTTCTTATTGGTCACGTTTTCGCCAAAGGGGCTGGTACACCACGACAGGGTGAAATGTTCCCAGAAATGGACGAACCGAATTTCCAATTTTTACCCCATCCCTTGTGCCGTTTTCTTGAACGCGCAATATCT